CCCCCCCCCCATTCTGTCCAACACTCGGACCTCTGAGATCCTCTTTAACAGGTGACGCTAACCCATTCCCTTCCCTACATGTACCTCTCTATTCATCTAGTGTGAACGGCCCTCATCGCTTGTCAAGATTATTACATAATCTTCCAGCTGGGCTTCTTGTTTCTACTTTTGCCCCCTTCATTTTATTCCCCATAGAGCAGTCCAAACAATCTTCAGAAACTGCCCATTTAAGTGCAACCCTCCTCAACTTAAACCCCTTGAGTCACGGGTTTACTAGAGAAGGGCCAACACTGACACTCAGCCGAGCTGATCTGGAAGAAACAATTCAGACAAGAACATTAAAAATTCCAATTAATGTCCTCAGCTAATGCTAGAAGTTATTACACATGGGTACACACACCTAGACACACACACACACACACACTGGCATGAAAAAAGGAATCATCAAAAGGCCAAAAAAAAAATTGTGAAATGTAACACATTACTGCCCCCCAAAATCAATAGGAGCACTGGGAGAAAAAGCTCAAGAAATCTTTCAGGATTGTAACATGGAAACTAGAGAAAGCAGAGAAGAGCTGAGCTGTGGGTCTAACACTCAATGCACATGCATTCTAGACGGTGAGACAGGGAGGGAAGACATCATCCAGTAAACCACACCCATTTCATCGATTCCAAACACACTATTATTTCATGCATTACTAAGGAAACAAAAGCTCTGCCCATTGAATTATGATGCGATACTTTCTTTCGCTTAAATTTTTATTGTATAAATATGTAGAGTTCTTTTATATATTTAGATATTTTAATGGACCTATTCTTGTTCATAAGTAAAATTAAATATTTGCAAAATATGCTACAAAATAACCTTAGAACATGTTCAGGGACTCTGTCATTTTCATCACGATGGGGCCTAAAACCATGGATGTTAATGTTTTTCATCCCAGTGCTGTATTTTGTGCGGCCAAGAGCTTTGCTGTGTGGGTTTCACCAAACACCACCAACAGGGGCCAACACAGCACTGCTGTCCCTGGGATTCTCTCCCGAGCTGACCCGCTGTTGGCACGTGATGGGCCACCTTTCAGCACGGCTTTCTCTGCCTGTCGTTCTGAGCTCCGGTCATTTGCAGTCACTGCTCTGCGAGAAAGCAGGAACTCGCACTCATCCCTCCAAACATAAAGCATTTGCTTCTCTGCTATCAAATTCCACATCACTGTTTCACTCCAATCATTTTTGACATTCACAGTAATTTTTTCAATGCCAAATAATAATATAATCTTTAATAAATGACAAGGGTCCTCAACACATAACAAGTGAAAAAATTCTAGCCGTCTATGACTAAATGCAAGTATGTATGGGCAATAACAATTACCTGTCTTAATTTCAGAGATGCGGAGATGAACAAAAATGGGTCTTAGTATAAAATACAGTGTAATATTGAACTTTTTCATCTAACTTTTATGATTTATTTTTTTCTATGCTCATCTGTCCAATATTGAAAGAGACATGTTGAAGAATACATTTTATCTTCCCTATGAATCACACCCTTTTCTCTATCAAATGACAGCATTTCTCCATTTTAATTCATTTCCTTAAAGTCTGTTTGTTCTGACATTATTAATAGCTTGACTACCGCTGTCCTTTTAAATTTGCCTGAACATCTTTGCCCATCAGTTCATGTTCCTATTTTGTGTCACTTTGAGAAATGCTAATTGAAATCCACGTTTGGCAAAATACTGTTGTTCATTTCCAACCTAAAAGATTTCATCTTTTAACAGGAAAGTTACATTTAGTTTATTAAATTTGCAATATTTGATTTTATCTTTTAGCTGACTGTAGTTCTCATAGCATCATATTACACCATGATTCATCCATTCTTTTGTTAAATTTCTTTCCACTGTTAAATGTATCGTGCATATAATGCAATGGACTTACATACATGCATATTTAAAGGTTAATAGTGAATTAAACAATTACCTAATATCCACTAGCCAGCTTAAAAAAACAGAGTATCATGAATAAATTTAAAGCTCCCTGCTGACCTAGCCGATCACATGCTCTCCCTGCCCTGGATTTCTATTATTCTATATTTTGCATTAATTCCTGTTTTTCCCTGTATAGCTTTACTATACATATGCATCTCTGAGCACCACAATAGTCAGTTTGCCTATTGTTTAACATGATGCAAATGCAACCGACACTCGTTATTTTTGGTCGGCATTGTGCTTTATGGTGGTAGCTATGATTAATTTATTTTGCCTGATATATGGTATTCTGCACAAATTTATACAGCCTCCCGAAGATGCCAGTAATGTTATGTGCTATGTGAAACGTGCCGACTACGCGAATGGTGCCCCAGAGCTGAGCAAGGCAAGGACCCTGATTCCTTCCACTGCATGAGTGTAGCATGATTGATTCATTTTAATAATTCAGTGTTTTTCCTACTTTTTGACATTTTTTTCTTGCTGTGATGAACAATGTTGCTATGAGCATTATTTTTATGCCTCTTGAACATAGTTTTTTTAGGACTGGGATATCTGGTCACAATATGCACAGATGCTACACATCGCAAGGTCAAGTCAGATACCTAAGGGTAGAAATGAGCTACAGAAAGGCATGATTAATTGTGTTGAAATGTTTATCAACTATTTACAGACACAGAACAGGGAAGGTATCATTGTTTACAGCAGTGACTGCTCAGTAGCGCAACTGTGGGGGACAAATTTTCTTTGTATACTTTTCTATAGTTTCCAAATTGCTGCCATAACACACAAAAAATTTTTAATCAGAAAAAATTATGTAGGGAGGTCTGTTCTTAAGTAAGGGGGTGCTTGAGCCGTGTCTGACCACCTATGATTAACTAGAGGGTCGCTGCTTCCAAGAAGTGCTCGATGTGGGTTCTTTCCCGGTTGTGTGTATGTTTCGGAAGCAAAGGGAGCGGAGAGGATTGGGCACGTTCCAGGATTGGGCTCCAAGCTCAGTCCTGAAGCTCCCTGCTGAGCCTCTGAACTCATATCAGCTTTATGGCAAAAAGATCTGAAGGAGTGATTTTTATAAGGGACCGTGAGACGTGGGACATGCGGATATGGACTGGGGGACAGCGTCTGAGCTGTTGATGAGACACTTGTGGCTGCAGCGTTCACTCTGCAGCATTCACTCCTGGCCTTGTGTGCAGGGGGCCTGGACACTGGCTTCTCCAGGTGAGCTTGCCAGCGGTGGTGGGCACCTCAACGGTCTTTGAGACCACTGCAGGATGGCAGGGCATGCTGATGTGCCAATCCACGGCAAGTTCTTAAAGATGCCCACAAACTATGGGCACAGGCTTTGAGGACAGCTGGCCGTCCTCGGACAGGTAGGCGAGGGCAGAGTGTGAGAGGGAGGAGCTCCCTGAACATTCCCGAACAAGCACGCCCTTCTCCTTCCCAAACGCCACACACCTCAAGCCTCAGTTACTCTCAGTGGCCGTGGAATATTCGGTAAAGACAGTCACAGGCGTCCTAGGTGCACACGCTTTATTTTGGTCATACAGAATGTGAACCGCGGCGAGGCTGGCAGAGGGTCAAGGAGAGCCCCTAGGCAACGGCCCCCCTTATGGAGAAGAGAACCTGCCGCAGAACAAGAGGCTGTTGGTCCTGTGGTGCCTGATGAAGAAAAGGAAGGGGTGGTCTGCGCAGAACCTGGGCTCCATCCTGCTGCAGCGGGAATTCCTGACCACGGCCGTGGCCGCGGCCGCCTCCGTGCCCTCCTCCGTGACCTCCACGAAGCACTTGTGCGCCACCTTGGACACGGGCACGTTCTTCTTCGTTGACATTCCGGAAAAGTCTGCCTTGGCCTCCTCAAAAGCATCGATCATTCCTAAACCTCGAAGGAAGGACTCCAACTCGTAGCTCTCCTCCAGCTTCAGCCGAGGGAGGAAAACTTGAACTTTAATCTCAGTCATGTTTTCTGGGTCCGTCCAGGCTCTGAGCTTCTCGTAGGTAAGCGCTTCCTCCACCTGGAACAACGGAGAGTCAAATCCTAAAATCCAGGTGACGGCAGCCCGGTNAGAGCCCCTAGGCAATGGCCCCCCTTATGGAGAAGAGAACCTGCCGCAGAACAAGAGGCTGTTGGTCCTGTGGTGCCTGATGAAGAAAAGGAAGGGGTGGTCTGCGCAGAACCTGGGCTCCATCCTGCTGCAGCGGGAATTCCTGACCACGGCCGTGGCCGCGGCCGCCTCCGTGCCCTCCTCCGTGACCTCCACGAAGCACTTGTGCGCCACCTTGGACACGGGCACGTTCTTCTTCGTTGACATTCCGGAAAAGTCTGCCTTGGCCTCCTCAAAAGCATCGATCATTCCTAAACCTCGAAGGAAGGACTCCAACTCGTAGCTCTCCTCCAGCTTCAGCCGAGGGAGGAAAACTTGAACTTTAATCTCAGTCATGTTTTCTGGGTCCGTCCAGGCTCTGAGCTTCTCGTAGGTAAGCGCTTCCTCCACCTGGAACAACGGAGAGTCAAATCCTAAAATCCAGGTGACGGCAGCCCGGTGCGATCCCTCTTTACCCCTCACCCCGTGACACGCAACAAGGCGGTGAGCTGCGGTCCAGGACAATCTACAGAGATGGTCCCTCTCGTAAACACATCAAGATTTTCCCTCAAATTCTCATCTTTTCTCTGTTTTATGGGAACAAGAGTAAAACAGCTGGAAAACACCTGAGACAAGGAGAGGGTATTTTTTTTTAAACCACCTATAACAAATTCATCTCAAATGTTTTCTAGTTTAGAAAATTCTCATGGCCACTTGATTATATTCATGCGATGCACATTACGAGAGTTGGAGAAATTGCTGACAAAAGGGAGACAGAGCAAGGCTCGGAGCTCTGAGCTGTGCAAGGAGGAAATCGGGGACATCTGAACGGCAAGGGGGACGTGCTTCTGGGGAAGGGAGAGCGGCGATGGGCTGTTCAAAAGGACCGACGTTCCGGGATCCTTGCTTGCCCGCCGCCTGCCCCACGCTCACACCCTGTGCACTGTGTGCAGGAGTGGCTTGTACCTCTGGTGGGAGTCGATTGTTAAATCCTTGGTAACCTAAACCTAGCCAAGTGGGAGTATTTACACCATGAAATCAGCCAACATCATAAATGAGGGCTTCTTCCACCCCCAGGGAGCCAGACAACCAGCACGCTGTGGGTCCTGCGCCTCCCACCTTACAAATTTGCCTTCCTCCTGAACCCCGTTCCTCTTCTGTCACAGGAAGAGGGCTCTCCCCTGTCTAAGGTGCGTTCCTCAGCTGTACTTTAGGCTCTTGCTACTCAATGTGTGGTCCATGACCAACAGCACCTGCATCACCTGGAATCTTATTAGAAATGCAAAAACCTCAGGCCCTAAACCCCCCCTGAATCAAAATCTGCGTTGTAACAAGATGCCCAGGAAATTCCTATGCACACGACTGGTTGAGAGCCACTGCCCAGCTCCAACCTACCCTCTTCCAGGACCTTCATTCAGCATTACTGGGCCCCAACTAGCCCCTCTTCAGAATAAAGAATGCCCTTAAATTCTTGGAACTCTCTCCTAGCTTCATCCACATTTGCCCTTGCCCACAATTCCATTCCTAGCTATAGACTCGATTGAAACGCATACACCCCCCCACCAAAGACAAGCAACGGTGTTCATCCAGCACTCTTTGTACTAACCCCAAACGGGAAACTCCTCGAATGCTACCTAGTGGATGGACTTAAAGAAAGGCGCCAAGGCTGGATCCGCAGACACTCAGACTCACTGCCGAGGGCTCACTTACCACGGAGAGATCAGTGCCATCCTCGGGCAGCAGGATGAACATGCTCAGCTCCTGCCCCTCGTAGGGCAGCTCCAGGATCTGGCTGTGCACCTCCTCCACACAGCCCATTTTAAATTTATCTTGCTTAAACATCATCTGCACTGTCTTTTTTTCCTAATGAAAACATAAAATTAAAATCAGATCACTGAAAAATGAGCACAGTTCATTAAAATTATGTCTAATTCACAGAACCCCTAGGTGCATATAAGAGAGATATTACTTCTGTGTGTTTATGCTGATAAACATATGACAAAACCCTCATTATTACATGTTAGTATTGAATACAACATGCCCATGCCCATGCCCCAGCAGAACAAATGCAACCAGGCGAGAGAATGAAGGGTGGAGTGTAGACAGACAGAAAACCCTCCCATTATTTTTGGAGGAAGTCGTGTTTCTGATCTTTTGAGAAAATGCATAAGGAAGCACACCCGGTGACCTTATAATTAAAAATTATTTTCCTAAGTTGAGAGGAGAATTCACCAATATTCAGGCCTTTGGGCTGAAGGGTCAGGTTAGGGAAGATGGACAGGCCGGAGGGAGTTAGGATTTATTTTGAAAAGTTGCTCAATTATAGAATTGGTTTTACAGCTTTGGTTTTCTTGGAGGGAGAACCTTAACAAGATGCGTAGGGCCCACCATTCTTAAACTTGCATCAAATATATTCTAAACTTTCAAACTTTTATGCAACATGCTGTTATCAAGTTGGTGAAGGTCAAATTCCAGCTAATAGCTATTGATGCCCCCACGCCAGCCCGTCAGGCACTATCATACACGAAAGGGAGTGGAGACGAGTATTTTTAAAGTTCGGCTTATAAGTCTGGATATCTTCTGTCCAGCATGGTGGCTACAGTTAATAATACTGTACTGAATACTGAAAAGTTGCTAAGTGAGTAGATTTCAGGGGTTCTCATCACACACAAGAAGGTAACTATGTGGGGAGATATGTTAGTTAGTGTTACTGTAGTAATCATTTCTCTAAGTTTATCAAATCATCATCTTGTACACCTTGACTATATACGATTTTAATTTTATTTTATTTAAATATATCTTTATTGATTTCAGAGAGAAGAAGGGAGAGAGAGAGATAGAAGCATCAATGATAAGAGAGTCATTGATCGAGCCCGCAACCTGGGCATGTGCCCTGACCGGGAATCAAACCCTGATCGCCTGGATCCTAGGTCGACGCTCAACCGCTGAGCCACTCCCGGCTGGGCCGATTTTTATTTTTAAAAGATGCGAAAAATAAAAAATAAATAATCAGCCTCAACACCTGTTAACACCTTCTTCCCTGTGCTCAGAACTGCAAAGCCATGGGTTCTGAGGCAATAAAAAGGCACAGCCGTCAGTGACACCAAGGAGATAGCTAAGTGACAGTGTAATACGCGCATCGTTCCAAGGCTTAGGAGAAATTTTCTTTCAATCACAATAATATGACCAGAGACAGAAGGTCAGTTGGATGGAAGAAAGGAAACTATCAATAGAAAAATATTGTTTTTCTCTTCCCTTCTCCAATAACAGATAGATGGGGGGCGTGAAATACACTCAGAAACAGATTAGCCACTGGGGGTGGGAAATAAACGGTGGAATTTTTCCCCTCACGGCCTTTCCCGGCGCGTGACCTGAAGACAGCAGCGGAGTGCCTGACACCTCCGTCCCCACCTGCTTGGCTTTGAAGGGCATCCCCCTGGTGTGCTTTGTGTCGAACTGCTCCTTCCACCTGCCTTTGAAGTAGATGGCGTTCACCAGAACCAGCCTGGTCAGTGGACCGACCGTGCCGACACCCAGGATCTCGGAAATCTTGCCTGTAAAGAAGAGAGAAGTCTGTTGCTATTTGCGGGGGGGGGGAATAAACATTCTCTTACAAAAATCCCCCAACACAGAAAGCCAGGCTGGAATGCTGTCTTTCGGCCACCTGACGAATCGGGGCGATGATGCCTGGGGCTGGGCACCCACGCAGGGTGTAGTTTGTCCTTAAGCAACACTCCCGAAGCAGGAAGGTCAACCACCCGTTTGCCCTCAATTGACAGACGTAGAAATTCAGGTTCGGAGCATCTGCCTGACTTTTTTGCTAAGGTCACTAGGTGGCGAGACTGAGCTGAGAAAATAACCCAAGAGTCCTGATTTTAACTGGAAGCCTCTGGGCCTTGGCACCATCATCTCTCGGCTGTGCCGCTGCTGACATTTTCCACTGGGTAATTCTTTGTTGGGGGACTGTCTTGTGCACTGCAGGACGGTTACCCAGCAGCACTTCCCCCCGTGGTGACAACCCACAATGTCTCTGGCCATTCCAAACGTCTCCTGGTGGTTGGTGCTGGTTGAAATCGTTCTATGCCAACCTTCACATCTCATCCAGGTGAGGAGAGCCTTCCAAGAATGGGAAATACAGGCCTGTCCGTGGGAGAAGGCAGGTCCCCCAGGTGGGGTCAATGAGGCAAAGGAATTAGGGGGATGCACTGAAGGGGCCCAACTTGAGCTGTCCGATGAAAGCGGGGACAAGGTGATCCCTAAGGCACCCCCAGCTGTAATATTCTGGGAAAACACGTGGGTGGCCAGCCTGATGGAAGGAAAAGTGTGAACAGCTGTGGAGGGGACGTGACAGGTGTAGGAAAGTGAGGTGTGGAGACGCTTTTGGCTTCGCAGGTGACTCAGGGCTGCTCCATCTACTGGGGAGCGAGAGACCACCACACATGTGACGACAAAATCGTGAAGGGCTCTTCCCTTCCGAAGGGCATTATTTTATGGGCGTTTAGTATAACTGTGACCGCTGCTGCTGCCTGACACACACGGGGTGCCATAAAGGTTGAACGGTGGAATGATGAGGGCTGGCGGGCTCGTGGAGAAACGAGCGGTTGAGCTCCCCACGTGTGGAAGTGTCTAAGTCACATTAGCTCTGCAGAGTGCTTGCAAGCCTGTCCTTCCCCGCACTCTCGGCGGAACTGGCGGAGCTGTCTCTGCAGAGAGGGAACAGGGCCTGGGCAGGGGATGCTCCAGGCTCCGCACCGGCTGCGGCTCCCGGATCTGGAGCAAACTGAGAAAAGGCCACGCTCCAAGAGCAAACGCCACAGCCTCCTGGCAAAGCAGAGGGCCAAGGGCGGAACCGGAGCTGGTCCCATTACAACGAGATACCGTCAAAACGGCCTCCCTCAGCGGCCACCCAAATTGGATGTCACTCTGCCCTCAGCGCAGGGCCAGGGCCCTCCCAGACAGGAGATAAACAGGGCCTCCAAGAGGATGTGGTTTTCCAGGATTTTCCAGTCGAGTCCAGAGGGGAAGGTGTCTGAGATCCTTACACCGGGTGTAAGTATTTCTTCTAAATCACCACTCTGGGATCTGATAAGCCCAATAAAAATCACAGAACGGCGTGGATGGCCTGAAACTGCAGCACACACACACAGAGAGGCCACAGGTGACAGGGTCCCAGGGGCAACACCGTGGAGGTCACACCCCAGGCCATCTCGGCTCCCTTTCCTTCGCGACTCACCAAGCCTACCGAAATGAAACCTCTCACCTTCAGTCTTTTTAGTCACCCAGTCGTTGATGTGTTTCCTGCATTCCTCGGTGTCCTTGGCAAAGGACAGCTCCTCCAGCTCCGCCTGGTAGAACTTCTGGCAGGACTCCTTAAAGGCCTGCGAGCAAGATTCCAAACAAGATACGGAGTCAGGCCCCACACAGCACAGCTTCCCACGGGGGGAACACATCTGGTTTTTCTGAATATGTTTCTACCCTAACAGCTTGCACGGGCCCTCCTGCCCTTTAAGACTCATTCACGCAATTCACAAAAACGCACAGCCCGCCCCCTCTGAGCCTGGCCCTGTGCTGGGTGCTGGACCCCAGGGTGGAGACATGAGACTGGAGGTGGCTCCCAGTCTGTGAGAGAGACGACGTACATACAGATAATTACAAGATGCTTTGAGAACATACAGGGTGGCAGACACGCGCCAAAGAGCCCACGATGAATGCCCATCCAACACTTAAACTGCACGTTGACTTTCTGTTTGGTTTTCCGTGTCCCTCCCCCCACTAAGCATCCTAATTTTCTTTTACTCATGTTTGCATCACCAGCCCCAGCCCGTGTCTGCAACATTACTGTGGAATGACTGGGAGGCTCCATGGGAGAACTGGATTATCAAGAAATCTCACAGGGCCTCCAGGATTGGAATGTGACCAGCCCAGATGGGTATGTGTGTGTGGGGGGGGTGTGTGGGTGTGTGTGTATGTGTGTGAGGGATTAGGGGGAAAAACAGGGACAGGGGATGAGCCTTGATACGTAAGGGGGGATCACATCAGGAAGGGCCTGTTCCCAATACCTTAAACCCAAAGATAACTCACCTCACAGAAACTTGGTTTCAGATACAATGTGCCTGGCCACTGGTGCCTATCCTCCGCCCATCTCCTGTTCTCAAATAGTTTAGCTTCTACAGAAGAAAGAAGACGTAGAGAGAAGAGCCGAGCAACCGAGAAAGGTGGCAGGTAGCTAGCTCCGTGTCCCCAATATTCCCCAATTACAATATTCAAAACGAACATCGACTAACCAGGAGATTCCTGGAATCACTCACGCTTATCCTAGAAGACCTAGCCAGCTGAAAGATCCAGAATCATCTCCAATGATTTTTTTTTTTTTAATACCCAGTGCAGGCGACCTCCACGGGGTAGAGCCCACCAGCAGGCAGGGCAGGATGCATTCAGGTCTCCTGGGAATGGCCAGCCAGTAAGACAGCCAGGCTCACCCTGACCATTTCATTCACATCGAGACAGCATCCCTCTGGACATTACGTAGCGTCATTTTTTGGACCTCGCCTACTGAATCGTGACAGGCTTTCTTTCACTGGCCTAGGGAACTCTGGGGTTATATCCTGCAATCAATAGGAACTACTCAAGCCCAGGGGGGAAGCAGGTCTGGGTGCCCGAGGATGGACATATTGAGATTAATATTCAGGTGAAATATACCAGAAATAATAAAAAAAGAACATAATTCAGAAGCCATCATACAATTTAAAATTATGACAGAGGCATAATTCTAAGCAAAATTTTAAGGCAATAGAGTTATACTTGATCTCTGTTCCTCTGTAATTTCTTTTATTTCCAATTTATTTTTAATCAGTATGTGAGTACTACTGCCCTGGCTGGTATGGCTCGGTTGGTTGGGGTGTCATCCCGTGCACCGAAAGGTCACGGGTTCGATTCCAGATCAGGGCACATACCCACGTTGCGGGTTATGGCTCATGCAGGAGGCAGCCAACCAATGTTTCATTCTCACATTGATGTTTCTCTCTCTCTCCCTCTCCTTTCCCCTCTCTCTAAAATCAATAAAAGCTTGTCCTCCAGTGAGGATTAAAAACTAATAATAAATAAGTAAATAAAATATGTGAGTACTACTTACCGGAAGGAAATCACACGTCTTTTCCCCAAACAGTCGGTTGGCAGTTCTGAGCAAGTACTGAGTGTCGGATCTGTTGACATCCGAGAGAAGTGCCTGGAAACCTTGGTGGACATCGCCACCTTTGTCCAGACAAAGGGCCTGGTAAGAGAAAACACAGACTTTTAACACTGCCATTCTGCTCCTCCAAACAAATCTCCACACTGAAAATCACAGCAGGTCCTGTCTCGGAAGGAGTCTGCTTTCACCAGCCAACACAGGGTTTCCCAACCTGGGGACAACTGACACTTTGGGTCAGTTACTCTGTACATTGCTCGGTATGTTGCAGCAGCATTTCTGGCCTCCAGCCACTAGATGTCAGCAGCACCTCTCAGTTATAACAACCAAAACTGCTTGCCATTGCCAAATGCCCCCAGGCAGGCAAAATCCCCTGGGTATAAACCACTGCTCTCCCAGATGCACCCAGGCCAGGAAGGCAGGATGTGAAAACTCAGGAGGGAGATAGAACACAACAAATAAATAGCTGGAATGGATCTAACCTGACGGAAAACTTCAAGAATGAGAAGAAATAAACATGAAAATGTCTCATCAGCAATTTTACAGTTCTCCAGCCCAGACTGTGATTTAAATGTCAGAGTAAGAATTCAGGTTGTTCCCGTGTCACCCAACAACCTGAGTCCAAAACCTCAGTCCTCCTAGGAGCTGGAAGAAACAACCATGGAGATTCAACTGTAGACATTGGATGCACTACCCTGACATGAGTGACAGAGTGACGGGCATGTGCAATTTTCTGGGTTGCTATCACAAGACAGTCAAAGAAACTAAGACACAAAGAGGTTAAGGACTCCTTCCCTAAGGTACCATCCACTACTTCATGGGTAGCTGACGTCACACATAGCCCACGTCAGATCAGTCAGATCAGACGTTCCGAGTTACTCTGGAAGACAGAAGTCCACATCTGTGTGTGTACTTCATCCACTTATGCACAATCATATGCTAGAAATAAACTTGTTGGACAAAAAGTTCATTTACATAGCTACATTTCTATTTGAAATATGTTAACAAAAGTAAAAATATAACAAAGCTTAAATCCTTTGCCTTTTTGTGGGACAAAATGATAATTTACCTTACTTCTCGAAGATACAATTTTGCTATAATATATTGATGCTTTTATCCACAGAAAATAAGGTAATGGCTTGATTTCTTCCATAAACACTAAGAAGAGATTCCCTGTTTTATACAGTTTACCTGTTTTACCTACACTTGTGCTTTGTCCATCAGCACAGTGTCCCACCTCCTGCCTACCAGCCACACTGTCCTTCATGAGCTGGGGTAGATAGGAAAGGACAAGCTCTGTGGAAGCAGAGAAAGAAGCATGCCATTGATCTTCCCTTGTGACAGGCACACCTACCTGCGACATCTGGGCTGCAGTGTCTCCTTTGGCCCCCATGAAGACCATGGCCAGGGCAGAGGAGATGCTCAGGGGAGAGAAGAACACATTCTGTGAGTTGTCCTTTTCACCCAACATTTTTAGTAAGTTGATGGCAAAAGTGCCATTTGCTTCTCCGAGATCATCCATCAGGGAAGGTCTGAATCAAAAACACAACACAGAAGCACATCAGCCAAACCCTCTGACACTGACTGGGTGTGGTCAGCAGAAGAACTACACCCCAAAGATATCCATGTCAAATTCCCCAACCTGTGACTACATTATCTTATGTGGCATTAGGGACCTTGCTGATGTGACTGAATTAGGGATCATGAGATGGGGAGAGTCTACTGGGTGATCCAGGTGGGCTCAATGTAATCACAAGGTCCTTATTAGATGAAGACAGGAGGGTCAAAATCAGAGAAAAAGATGTGATGATGGATGCAAAGGTCAGAACGATGCGGGGCCATGAACCAAGGAATGCAAGCAGCCTCTGGGGGCTGCAAAAGGCAAGGAAACTGATTCTGTCCTAGATCCTTCAGGAAAAAAAAAAGGAACTCTGAGGACCTATTTTGGACTTCTGAACTCCAGAACTGTCAGATAATAAATTTTTATTGTTTTCAGGCGCCAAATTTGTCATAAGGCGTTGCAGTATCAATAGATAACAAACACAATGGTTTATTCACAAAGTAAATCAGAGCTTTACTCTGATTCACAGAGTACAGAGCTTTACTCTGATTCACAAAGTAAATTCACAGAGCTCATGATTGGTCCCACCCTTAGCAACGGGACCTCTGCAGAGGCTCAGACACTCTCCCAGACCTGCTGACTCCCAATCTCATTTGTACATTGAAGCTGTGAGAGGACTGGAACTTTAAACAAAATGGGCCTTGCCCAGTGAATCTAAAAAGGAATTAATTCTAATATAAAACAAAATAACAGCTTTGGGCACTGGTGCCACAATTCAACTATGTCATAAAAACACGACAATGTGGAAAAGATCTGATTTCCAGCCAATAAAATGAATTGGCATTGAACTAGTGTTCTCTTTACAGGTGGACAAGGTCCTCAGGTCTTATAGTAAGAGTGGTCCAGTCGGCCACAAAAGCAAGCCTTCAGTTACCAACCCTGTGCCATCTTCTTCTTCCTGCCAACTCCCTGCTCCCTCCCCCTCCCCATATACACATCCCAAGGTGAATTTGTTCAAAGAGCACTTATGTAGACCTTTCCTCATATGGGTTTGCAGAAGGAGATGAACAATAAATGGCATCACTCCTGACGGGACGCTCCCTCCCTAGGGGACACACACAGACATAAATGTGTGGTTTGAAGTCAGCCATGGGCTCTGCAACAGGAGGATTTGCAAAGAGCTGAGGAAGACCACAGAACAGCAGAATGACTTCCCTTTAAAAGCCCCTGTGGCGAAGGTGAGCAGTGAGGTGGCTCTGCAAGGTTGGGGAGAAGTTTCTGTAAGGCGGTGAACGAGAGAGGTGAATTTTAAGGCTGTGGCTGTGGGATTGGCAGGTGCAAGGAATGTAGCAGGGGCCGTGCTTGTGTGTGGCCAGGGAGCAGGTCTGTGTGGAGTCCCCTGAGAGACAGGGCGTGGTGAGACAGGATGGGCCCCTTATGCCAGGTTCAGAAACCTGAACTTGAGCTATGGGCTGCAAAGCCATGCACGGCTTTTAAACAAATGTTTTACAGGAAATACATTGGAGATTTAGAGAAATACTGTGGCTCACCAAATAGCGTGGGAAAAGGCTAGGGACCAGCTGGTCCACCACTGCCCTAGATTAGTGACAGCTGAACACAGAGGAAGCTTGCCCACGAGAGTGGGCGATGGAACTGCCAGCTGGGGCAGGGAGCAGCAGGAGTCAAGGATTACATTAGCTTCTTAAAAGACAACAGACCCCAAATGGAGTCACTTATGGGGAACCCCACATCACCAAACCAAAACTTGACTTCATTACAGCTTCAGCTCTCCCAGAAATGGGATGTGAAAGTCAATCAGGGGTCCCCTGATCAGCAGGAGTGAGGTCATCTGCCTGACAGACGCCTGCCGTCCCTAAAGGAAAGCAACTTTGCAATAACAGCCGCCTTCTTGCGGACTCTAAGTTCCTTGTCTTCTGCCCTTGTGCCTCTAAGTCTCATTTTGCTCAGCTGCTTGGAGCTCCTTTCCATCTGCTGGACTGGAGGCTGCCGGATTCAAAGTGACTTTCTGCTGAAGCAGACTCTTAAAGTTTGTGAGATGCCTCAGCTCGTCTTCTGATAGCCTGCCAGCTAATCATGCCCAGGAGGGGCCCCAACCACGGGAGGTTCGTCTGAGGAGCCAGCCGGGAATGGAGAAGGTGTGCATTCCAGGCGAGGCTGTGGGACACGCCACACCAAGGGAGTGGGGCAGTGGGGACAATGACAGCCAGGACGTTTGTGAAAGTCAGCCGGTTGCTTAAGATGAGCAGGGGTCCTAGAGGGAGAGCTTGGGAGCCAGGGGCATCCCCGATTCCAGGGGAGTCTAGGCAAATGGGGTGGCATTACTCAGAAGGTTCGGTGGATGCAGGAGACCAGAAAGACACCTAGTTCTGGAGAAGGTCCAGCATTTGCAGGTAGTAAGGAAGGCCCGCCGCCACCCAGCACTCAGGGGTGTCCTGGCAGGGCTGGGAGGGCGAGTGGGGGCCAGGGAGGCTGGGAGGCTGGAGGAGGAGGCAGTGAACTGGGGCCTGAAGCCGCCTCCACCAGGAGGGCAGCTGGGCCGGAGCCCAGGGCTGGGCGTCTGGGAGTGAGGGCTCGGTCCCCTAAGCACTGTGGCTCCTGTGGAGGAGACAGGCGAGCACCCACCTTTTCTAGCTGAGGGCAGGCAGCCGATGAAGGGGCGCAGATGGGAGCGAGGAGAGCAGGGCAGAGAGTGGGAGAAAAAGAGCAAAGGGGAGCAGG